GCCGGGCAGGCCTGAGGCAGCCCAGCCCTGTCTCTCCCGGTGCCTTGGGGAGTCTGGCTCCCCACACCGTGCCGGCAGGCTGCAGCGGGGGTGAAGGGATGTAGTTAGGTGCCTCCCCTGCCCCAGAGGCCCTTTGCAGAGAGCCTGGGGTGAGGGTGCCCTGGGGGCAGCCTGTGCGCCCGGAGGGGGCAGCCTGTGCGCCCGGATCCCGAGACAGGGATAGCCACGACCATGCCTGGAGGCTCCCTAAATGCACCCCGCGCCTGGGCGGCTGGACCTGGCATGACACTCAGGAACAAGCTGGAGGACCGTGGGGTTTGCACCCTGCTGTCTGCTTCCGCGGCTACCTGTAGCTACAATGGTGACAGCACTGGGGCAGCCCAGCCCACACATGCTGGTCTCATCACTAGGCTCTTTGAATCTGTTGGTAGCACATCTTGAATCAGCACCTGTAGTTACTCTCATCCGACCTTTTCTTTTAATTCATTGCAGACCACACAGGCATTCAGTCAGCCTGATACACCCATATCGGTGTTCTAGAGGGTGCCGAATATCGTAATGCTCTTAGGAAGGAAATAAGGAAACTCATTGAATAGAGCAAACCTTAAGGTGTACAAAATCATAAGGACTTCGGAATCTGGAGCAAAACTAATTCAAGAGGCATTTCATAATAGTCATGGAATAATGCAAGTTAAAATCTTACTAACGTCAACATGCACCTTTGCTAAGCTGACGTGGGGCTCCTGTAAAGAAACATATAAAGAGTAGAGAGATATATAAAGAATATAGAGATATATAACCTAGACCAGGCTTCAGACAGACTACCGGCTAGAGGGGGATATGTCTAGCCCCAAATTGCTAAAAATGGGCTGATTTCCCGTTTTGTCACATGCATTCCACTAACAGGTTCTGCCTCTGGAAAAGTTATGTCTTCTTACACTTTATTAACTCATGATATTTGCATTAAATTAGCTGCACATCTCCATGCTTTGCTGTTGTGTGCCTTCATCTCATGACTGTGTGCCTGAACATTTTTAATGGCATTGCGCGTGTGTGCCAAGGGTCACATAGATATTTTTCCAGTTGTCAGCAGCCCGGACCTGGAAGGTGCTCCCAGAGCAAGCAAGCGAAGCCCCATGCTAAGGCAATCCTCAGCATCTCCTTTTGACCAGCTGCTGCACACTGCAGCTGAGACCCTACATGCTGGCATGCAGCCACAGGAGCCAAAGTTGTGCAAAACAAGCTGAGCAGTTCCAGCAGTTTGTTGCTGTCCAAAGAGCTCATCTCAGTGCCACTCCTTATTTGTTGTAGAGCCTGGAATGAAATAGATCGGGTGGGAGGGGTACAAAAGTGGAGCCTGAGACAGGACAGAAACCACCACGACCTTCTTGGGCCTGATTTTGGCTCAGCTCCTCCAGTCCTTTCACCAAAGTCCAGTAGATGGCAACAGCATTTCACAAATGCTTTGATATTCAGCTTAATCCTCTTCTGTTTTCTACATCACTGGAATCCTTGCCAAGCAATTTCTTTCAATATTTCAAAGTCAGCCCCATGAGTGGCCACAGCATGCAGTACCTGCTCCCTCCTGAGTTTGTCATGCAGTGTGGGTTAGGCCCATGGGACGGCCTCATGGGTCACCTGGTGCTGCCATCCTCTGCAGGGCATGCAGAGTCTGTGCCATCTTTACTTGCATGCACATACCTCTTTTCTTTGTCCCCAAACCCCATGGAGGGGAACATATTTCACCTGGGTTAAGCAGATGTCTTTCTCCCATACCTCATGAGGAAGAAGTCACTTGGCCACCAGCTCTTCATTCAACCTCTCATGGTCCACCCTTTGGGCAATCTGGCTACCCTCAGCCCACAGAAACTGGTCCCCACCAAGAAGTACATAGAGAGAGGGGGGCTCTGAGCAAAACCCTTGTGATTCCCCTTTATTTTTGCCTTTCCCCACAGAGCATCTACCTCCCCTGGCTTCTTGTATGCTGAAGAAAAGCACACACACAGATGCATCCCTCCAGCCCTCCCAGCATTGCTTCCCCATGGCTTCCCTCACTACATCTCCCTGATCCCCATCAACACTAAAGCTCTTCTTTATCCATGCAGACAAGGAGACTGAGATCTTCTCAGCTCTCATCCCTCACACCTGCAACTGTGGTATCTGCCCAACCCAATGCCCCAAGCTCCATCCGTGTCCCTGAGGTCACCAGTCCCCTTCTCTTCCCACTGCATGCAGACCCTATTCAAGGGATTACACCCAAGGACAGGCCACAGCAGCACACATCTTTTGAACCCAAACCTACCACAGGCTTACTTCTCAACCATCAGGCCATCTCTTTCCTGAGCATCCGATGCCTATGACAGCTGCTGTTATTTTTCAGCAACAAGTACAGCCTATCAACAGACATGGCCTCCACAGTGGCCTTGGGAGAGTGTGGCATACCCAGCAGAAAGTGAGGTGTGCCTCTCACAGCCCAGAGGGAGAGAAGCATGGAGAAGGGGCTGTGGCACCATGTGGAGGACCAGCTAGCTTAGAAATACAGCATCAAGGAGACTGAGGCAGAGATCTGAGAGCTGGAGGAGCCTGGCTGGCTGTCCCAGGGGTCTGGGTCTTTCCAAGGGAATGTCAGCAGACATGGGATGAGGTCTGAGCAGGACACAGAGAACCTGGCTTGAGGTGCCTTTGCTCAATTGCACATCCAGGTCCTTCAGGAGCTGCTCTGAGGCACACACTTCATCCATCTCACTCCAGACCAACCTCCTGCGTTCTGGCGGCAATTCCCCCCCCAGCCTTCCTATTTGCTTCCCCGTCCCAGGCTCCACCACACCATGGGACCCTCTCATCACCTCAGGCCCAGCTGGCCACCCCCAGCACTGGTGGAAGTGCACTCGCTGGGGACCTGGCACCCCAGGATCTGCTTCCACCTCCTTCATCCACATCTCTAGACAAGCACTGATAGCCTGCGGGCCCCTGGCCTCCATCAGGGTGCTATCAGGAATACTCCATCTCTTCCTCCAGCATGCTTATTTGAAGTGTCTGATCTTTGTCTCTTCCCCTCACCCTTTGCTATCATTTGTGGCTCCCAAGAATTATTTGGTTCCTCAGGTCTCCTACACCCCCTTTTTAGTGAGAACTAGCAGTTGTTCTGCTGTAGCCTTGTGTTCTCTGAGTGCTGCCTTTATATTTCGGTGGTCTGCAGACTCTCCAGCAGCCTTCCTTCTCCTCGTGTCTCTAAGGCAACATTTATGATGACTTTGGATGTCTTCCTC